TGGTGGGTTGGGCACCACAACGAGCAGTTCTGAATCATCCTTCCATTGCTTGCTTCATAAGCCATTGCGGTTGGAATTCCACCATGGAAGGCGTAAGCAATGGAGTCCCCTTCTTGTGCTGGCCCTACTTTGCTGACCAATTCCTGAACGAGAGCTGCATTTGTGATAATTGGAAGGTGGGATTGAGATTTGACAAAGATGAGAGTGAGATTATTAGAGGAGAAGAGATTAAGAGCAAAGTAGAGAAACTACTGAGTGCTGAGAATTTTAAGGCGAGGGCTCTTGAATTGAAGGAGAAGACCTTGAACAACATCAAAGAAGGTGGTTCCTCTGAACAAAATCTCAAGAGTTTCATTGAATGGGTGAAATCATAGACAAGTTGTTTGCAGTTTCGTTTTTGCATCATTTTCTTTGCCCTGTTTTCTATCTTTTTCTTCATGAATCATGTTTGAAATTCTGCAATAAAAATTAAAATTATATTCCTATAGAATTTGGTAATAAGCAAGACCATTTCTTTTTTAAACCCATCAAACGGAAGCAAGTCTTATAAGTATAAGAAACACTAAAACAACTGTGATAATACGAAGACAATGTTGATCACCGAGAAAACAAGAACTATATTTTCTCAAGAATCTGAAGTAAGAGAATCCAATAAAAAGAGTAAAGAAGACTCAATTCAACTATCAAAAGAAATACGATCCAACTTGAGTCTAGAATGCAGAGTTAATAGCGGCAGAATGGGCAATCCACATCTTAGAGTCATACCTTTTCTAGAGCAAGACAAGGCATTCGGGTTTGAACCATCCAATAGACCGTTTTTATGGGTAGTACGAGCAGGTACCACGGAGTGAAAAGACGAGGCATACCCAGAACGGTTTCAGAATAGAGTGGCTGATCGTGGGAGCAGCGCTGGGTCATCCTTCTGTCGCTTGCTTCCTTAGCCACTGCGGCTGGAATTCTACCATGGAAAGGGGTATGCAACGGAGTCCCCCTTCTTCTGTTGTCACTACTTCTCTAACCAATTCCTGAACGAGAGCTATGTTTGTGAGATTTGGAAGGTGGGATTGAACTTGGAAAAAGATAAAAAGCGGGATCATCCGACCAGCAAAGATCAAGAGCAGGTTGGAGAAAGGAATAGGGTCAAGGAAGGTGATTCCTCCTACAGGATTCTCAAAAGTTTCATCGATTGGGTGAATTCATAGACAAAGTTGACGGAATGTCGGTAGTTTGGTTCTGGCGCCTGACACCCCGCCATGGACAAGTTCGGGTTAATCGACGCACAGAGATGATGGTTAAGTTCCCATTTTGTCCTTGATGGATTGGACTGGTTGTAGGTCATAAATTACGAGGGCTTTGGGCTTGATGCCATTTATCATCATTGAGCCTTTTTTAGGCCTAATCCATCATGGAGCATTAGACCGCTGATATTGGGTGGAGCCCAAAGTTCACCATGGCAATGAAAGGTTGGTTTTTTTTTTCTAAGCCAAGTCCAACACAAAATTTAATATGGAATCATGGCAACTTTAAATTTGAATAAAACCATGTTTTATTTTTAATAAAATTATTATATTTTGCCAATTAAAGAACATACATATATGCTTCGCTTAAGAAAACGACATAATAATATTGTCCAGTTGGTGATACAACGAAGGAGATATTTTAGTAGAACCAGATGTTGTAGTACAATAATTCAAGCCCAAGGCTCAGGTCAAGTTTGTTCTTAGGAGTCAATCAACGACAATATAACGAGGGATTGTCATTTTTTGTGATATTTTTTCTTTTGGTTTTTTTTTATTCCCAAAATATTCCTCTAGTTTGAAGGAAAAAAAAGGGAGATATTTTAGTTTCAAAACACCATTTTTTTAGTAATATTTAAGTAATACTAAAATACTATCTCTATGAAATTTTAACTATCATACTTTTAATTTAAAACATTTAAATTAATTATCTATTCTTTTATTTTAAAATGTTACTTGATATGTTTATTTATATTTTGTTACATAATTAGAATCCTTATTATAATAAGTATAATTATTTTGATTGTGATTATTTAAAAATAAATATTTCATATATAATTTAAATTATTAAATGAGAGAGGCAAAGAGACATAAGCTCTCCTTCTATCATGACTATAACTTTCTTTATCCTTTTCTTTCTATTCTCTATTTAGTTCTTTTATTCCTTTTTCTTTTATTTACATTTTTTTTAATTAATCTTTCTGTATGTTAAGGCAATTCTTTTCTCTACATAGCTATTTATGTGGTAAACAGTATGAAAATTTCTCTTTTTCCTTGTTTTGATCTTAGTTAGGGTATACGAGAGTTTATGGTCTTAGTATTCTGTATGTGTGGTTTATGAAAAATAATGAAAATTTTTTTTTTAATGGCTCGTAATTATAATTAATGTTATTTTATATAAATTTATATTTTTATTTAAATAATAATTTATTTATATCATAAGTTTTATAATTTTTTTTTGTTTTTTTAACGCCAAGTCCAACACGAAATTTAATATGGAATCATGGCAACTTTAAATTTGACTAAAATCATGTTTTGTTTTTAAGAAAATTATTATATTTTGCCAATTGAAGAACAGGCATATCTGCTTGGCTTAAGAAAACGACAAAGTGATATTGTCCAGTTGGTGGAGCAATGAGGGAGATATTTTAGTAGAACCAGATGTTGTAGTACAATAAACTCCACC